AAGCCCACCATTTGTAGTGAAAGGCAAACGTTTTCAGATTTGTTTGAACAGTTTGAAAGTTACCTAATGGACTGTAGAGATGAATGGAATAAATAAATCATATTCAAGGTTGATATTGAGTAGTGTTTACCTGAAATTGATTCATTCTGTTTTTCTTCTCGTCTGTCAACTGCAATAATATTGAAAAGTAACTCAGAATCACTTACATATATTCAATTTATTCACAACAGTGACAGGAGAGCCGTTCATGTGATTAAAGGCCCTGTTTAGGGACGTGAACCACAGGTTGGTGAGTCACCGCAGGGTCTGGTCATCTATGATCTGATTGGACACAAACGTCTGGATTTAAAGAGCCGGGAGAAGAGGCTGTATAACCAACAGTCCACAGCCTGTCATGACACCAAGGTTGTATTGTACTTTTTCTGAAAATGTACAATAAAAAACAATTTATCACAAAAACCTACTGCAGTTCAATGGTTTACTGCTGCTGTCACTGCTGCTGCCTTTAAGTCCATGGAGAAAATTCAAGTAATAGGAGCTGAGGTCAGAGGTCAAACTGATGAAGACCAGAGCCCAGTTGTCCTGCAGGCCCTGATTCAGCCTAATGGGAAAAGGAACTGAACACTTAACACACCATCACTCACCCCCTCCCCCCTCATCAAAACAGAGTCAAAGGTCAACCTGCTCCATTAAAGAGCAGCCAGGTATTTAGGACACCTCAGGGACAGTGAGGGTGGGGTGGCTTTGTGAGACAGCTGGTAAAATAATAAACTTCACTAAAAACAACCATAAAATCCTCTGGTGTCGACACATGACGCCTTGGCTGAGGGCTGTGGTGGGGTGGGGGGGGTCCAGGTCAGGTTAGAACAAACAGAGTGATTTTGTTGTCGTGAGTTTACGACAACAGTCATTTTTCTATTTCCTTTTGTTTCCAGACAAAAACGTTGTTACTTTAACCAAACCAGAAATACAACAACAGACACAGAGTCAGAGCAGGACCACTGGTCCAGAAGGGGTCTGGGACTGGTTACAGACTGGTTACAGACTGATCAATGTCTGGTACATAAGTCTGTGTACTTGAGATTTTTAGCCTCCATTAATGAAACACAAAGCTTCCAGAATGTTCTGGTCTCCTGGTTCCTCTCATGTGTCTCTGACACTTCTCACTGTTGTCTGGTGAAATTTCACTGAAATGTCCCTTTAATGTGGTTCCACTGCTAACTGCTGAGTGTGAGCTGGAAGGTGGGATCAGACCAGACGAGACTAGTGATTGAAGGAGAAACAGTTACCAGCAACCAGCCGTACACAAACACAAAACACTTAGTGCTGTGGCAGTGTGTGTGTATCTGTGTGTGCTGTATGAGGACAGGAGAGAGAGTAAGAGAAAGAGAGGGAGAAAACCTCAAAAACAAAACCCTTCTTCAGTTTATCTGCTCTGTAAAATCTTTGTTGACAAAGAGTGGAGAATACACCCTCCATCAGGGGAGCAGAGTCACTCTGCTCCACCACTAGGGGTGTGCAAAAAAATTGATTCACATTTCAAATGTGATTTAGGCTTTGCCGATTTAAAATCAATTCATAAAGATCCAACAGGCAGGCAGACCGTTAGCGTGTTTATGTTTATGTATTCTGTGATTCTAAAACATCTTAAATGCTTAAATGCTGAACTGAGAATATTTGAGGCAGCACATTAAAACTAAATGTAAAAGCTCTTATTTCACCCAAATATTTTACTTTGCACTGTGCAGTTTACAGTTGCATTTTCTGGTACTACCAATTACCTCAAGCCCACCATTTGTAGTGAAAGGCAAACGTTTTCAGATTTGTTTGAACAGTTTGACAGTTACCTAATGGACTATAGAGATGAATGGAATAAATAAATCATATTCAAGGTTGATATTGAGTAGTGTTTACCTGAAATTGATTCATTCTGTTTTTCTTCTCGTCTGTCAACTGCAATAATATTGAAAAGTAACTCAGAATCACTTACATATATTCAATTTATTCACAACAGTGACAGGAGAGCCGTTCATGTGATTAAAGGCCCTGTTTAGGGACGTGAACCACAGGTTGGTGAGTCACCGCAGGGTCTGGTCATCTATGATCTGATTGGACACAAACGTCTGGATTTAAAGAGCCGGGAGAAGAGGCTGTATAACCAACAGTCCACAGCCTGTCATGACACCAAGGTACTGTGGTCTGAGGAACCCTCCAGAACACATCAGAACCAACAGTCCAGACCTCAGTGGGAAAGTCCACAGAGGACTCAGAGAGAAGAGCAGGAGCATTTCCCAGTGTGCAGCAGCCAAGGAGTTGTGGGTTGTAATGACTGGGTTGATGTCTGTCAGGCCCAGAGGTCAAACAGCCGAACCCAGAGGACAGGCTTTCAACAACACTGTGATGTCATCAAAGAGGGCCAGGCTGACTCATCAACCTCAGAG